GGACCTTGAGTGTCTTGCAGCCGCTGCGCCTCATCTCGTGTCCATGCTGCTTGCCCCTGAGGGAGACCCGGATGCACCAGACATCCCGACCCCGCGCTCTTACGCTGAGGCGATCGCGGGTGAGTACTCCTCTCCGTGGCAGACAGCCATGGGCGCAGAGATGGCATCCTGGAAGTCCACAGGCACTTACGTGGACGAGGTTTCCCCTCCTGGGGCGAACATCGTCAGTGGCATGCGGATTTTCAGGGTGAAGCGGCCGCCAGGTTCTCCGCCTGTCTTCAAGGCTCGTTACGTTGCTCGAGGTTTCAGTCAACGAGAGGGAGTAGACTTCTTTCAGACCTTCTCCTCCATCCCGAAGATGACCACTCTTCGGGTGCTGCTGCACGTCGCCACTCAGCGTGACTACGAGCTTCACTCTCTTGACTTCAGCACAGCCTTCCTACAGGGCAGCCTGCACGAGGAGATCTGGCTGCGCCGCCCTCCTGGCTTCACTGGGTTGTTCCCTCCTGGTACCCAGTGGAGCCTCCGGCGGCCAGTCTACGGTCTCCGCCAGGCACCACGTGAGTGGCACGACACACTGAGGACTACACTTGCGACTCTTGGGTTTGCTCCGTCGACTGCTGACCAGTCGCTGTTTCTGCGCACCGACACGTCGCTGCCGCCGTTCTACATCCTCGTGTACGTCGACGACTTGGTCTTTGCCGCTGCTGACACTGAGCCTCTCGCCCTGGTGAAGTCGGAGCTGCAGAAGAGACACACGTGCACAGACCTGGGTGAACTGCGCAGCTACCTTGGCTTGCAGATCACCCGGGACAGAGCACGCCGCACCATCACACTGACTCAGTCACACATGGTGCAGCAGGTCCTTCAGCGCTTCGGCTTCACCTGGTCCTCACCACAGCACACTCCTCTGGCTACAGGCCACTCACTCTCAGCTCCACCTTCGGACGAGTCCGTAGAGCCGAGTGGCCCGTACCCAGAGCTAGTGGGCTGCCTCATGTACCTGATGACCTGCACTCGACCTGACCTTGCGTACCCTCTTGGCCTTCTGGCTCGCTACGTGGCTCCTGGTAGGCACCGAAAGGTGCACATGGATGCTACGAAGAGGGTACTGCGCTACTTGTGCAGTACATCAGGCATGGGACTCGTGCTTGGAGGGCGGAGCGCAGTTGTCCTCACTGGGCACTCAGACGCTTCTTGGGTTGACGACCAGGCTACGCAGCGATCGTCACAGGGTTACACCTTCAGCCTTGGCTCTGGTTCAGTTTCTTGGCGTTCTACACGCTCGTCTTCAGTTCTCAGCTTCAGTTGTGAGGCTGAGATCTACGCCACAGCCATGGCTGCACAGGAGTTACGCTGGCTCACCTACCTGCTGACCGACTTGGGAGAGCGGCCTCGTTCTCCTCCAGTGTTGTACGTCGACAACAAGGCCGCCATTGCCTTGTGTCAGGAGCACAGACTGGAGCACAGAACGAAGCACATCGCTCTGCGTTACCTCCTTGCTCGAGAGTTGCAGCAGCGTGGTCAGCTTCGTCTTGCTCACGTGGCCACTCGGGCCAACACTGCTGATATATTCACCAAGGCACTTCCGTCTGGTGATCATCAGCGTTTCTGCACTTTGTTAGGCCTTGTGCCCACTTTGCCTCACTTGCTGTAGACTTTGGTTGTACTGTGATCTATATATATATATCTACGTTGCTAAATACGAGTACCGAGTATAATACGTTAGCGTATTATACGCTTGGTATATACGCGGTACGCCAAGGCTGGCGTACTGCTGATACGCAAAAATACGCTGGCGGGCAGCTAAAACTTTTTTTCCCGGGCAGGTATAAAAAAACCTGTTTCAGGGGGGGGGTTCAGGCCGACAACAACACATGTCAATATTTTATTTCATAAATATCCAGAAATACATAGTTCATCCACATAATCCCCACCCTCTAGCGAGCTTCCCCACAGCCTATTTCCTTGCGGGGCTTTTCCACCACCACCCCTTCCCCATACTCATCCGCCAGCACTGCATCATCTCCTTCCCCCCCCAGCAGGTCATCCTCCTCCTCCTCGTCCATGTTGTAGCCGCGGGGGATAGGGGCATCCGGGATGTTCCCGGGCACAACCGTGCTGGCCCCATCCTTGTTGTACCAATTGCGCACAACGTTCCAGTTGTGCGCAATGTAAACCAGGTCCGCACACTTGGCGGACCCGAGGCGGTTGCGGCGGGCGGTGTGGACGCCTTCCCACTGCGCCCAGCCACGTTCGCATGAAGAAGCCGAGACGGGCTGAGTGAGAATCCGGCATGCGAGGGTGGCAAGCTCAGGGTACTCGGTGCTGTGCCACGACCACCAATGCACCATGCTCATCTCCCCTTTCTTCACTGCCTCCCTTGCAGCTATGGCGCTCAGCTTGCCAAAACTGCCCTCCAAGTTGATGTAGGCCAGCAATGCCTCCTGCAGCACAAGGGAGGCGCGGCGAGGGGCACCATCCTTGCCGCGCCTGAAGGTGACATGGTCATAGTGGCGCTCGATGTAGTCCTTGAACACCCTCGTGCACTCCACATCGTTCCTGAAAATTCCCTCCTCCTGGTTGGCCGGATTCAGGATCCGGCCAACCACATGCATGGAGCAGGCAAGGGAGTTGTCCCACCTGTCCTTCACAATCTTGGTGATGTCTGCCCTCTCTGTCCGAGTCAAGAAGTCGCCTGAAGCGTCGAGCTTGTCATTGATGTCCTCGGTAAGCTGTAGCATAATGTCATACAGCTTACCCATCATGCCTTTCGCGGAAGAGTCCGTGGCCCGCATGGCCTTGAATGGCACCGCCATGAGAGAGGAAAAGAACTCCGCCACCCCCCACCACTCCTCATCCATCACAGCAGCCCTGAATTTCTCGGCTGCAGTCTTCCTATCCTTGTCCCCCGCTGCCCACACCTTCCACTCGTCGCTGAGCACCATCGCCGCCAGCCCACTCCTCACCTCACATAGCCGGGCCATGGCTATGTATTGTGTCCCAAACCTGGTTCCCGCAGGCTTGAGCAACTGCTTCCCCCCCACTTTCTTCATATAGGCACGGGTGAAGTGGTGGTTGCGCACGAAGGTAATCATCTCCCCTCCTTTCTCCACAAGCCTTTTTGCCCATCCCATTTTGCCCACATCTTCCATTAACAGGTCCAGGACATGCGTGGCACATGGCACATGCTCAATGTGCGGCCATGTGCCCGCAATCTTCCGCGCTGCCGATGCATAGTTGCTGCCGCCATCGGTGCAGACCGCCACCACATTCTCCGGCCCCACCTTATCAATGACGGGGCGGAGAAGGCTGGCGATGTACCCCCCCGTCTTCGACTCCATGTTGCAGTCCACGGCCTGCTCGAAAACTGCGCCGGAGTCGTTGACAAGGAGTATGTTGGCCTGCGGGCGGCCACAACGGTCGGTCATCATGTCCGACGACACGGTGACACCGTCCCGCTTCCAGCTCGCGGCAACGGGGGCGAGCGCTGCCTCCATTTTCTGCCGCACTTTCTTCAAGCCCGCCCCTCCAACGTAGCCCCTCTTGGGGGGAACATACCCCGGTCCCGCGCGCGCAAAGCACTGGACCGCGTAGCGGAAGACCGGATCATCCACGATGCGCTCTGGAAGCTTCAGCGCCGAGATCATTAGGCAAAGCGCGTTATCCGCGTCCTCCTTGGCGCACGTTGCCTCGTCGCCGAAGAATTCTGTTATCTTCCCCTTCTTCTCCGCACAAGCAGTGACCGCGCCCAGCACGGAGTCGAGTGCTGCAGCAGCCGCCCCTCGTTTCATGCTCTTGTTTTCCTCCTTGTTTTCGTACATGGCACGCACTGCTTCACGGACTTTCGGGGACACGTCCTTGCAAAGCCTGACAGGGCGTCCATCTTGCCCTTTCCATTTGGCGAGGTGAACTGCGCAGCGAGTGGTTCCGCCCTCAAACTTGAAGCCACAAAACTTACAAAGCTTGGGATTGCCTTTGGTGTGGGGGGGAATAAGAAAATGTTTCAGAATGGGGTTCGAAAGGCCAGCCTCAACAGGTTGCGTGTTGATCGCACTACTAGACGCGTGACCAGAAGCTACATTGCTCGTCGCGCTAGGAGGGGTGGAGTTCGACGCCATGGGGCGCGACTAAGGAACGGTAAACTGCTTGAGGAAAACGGGAGATCAGAGCTCGGGAATGAAATTGAGGAGGAGAGAAACGAATGAAGGATAGGAAGGCGTCAACGAGTAAATGCTCACATGACGTGCTGGACATTTGAGAGGGGTGGTTGGATATGAGAGGTTTGGTGGGGTGGTGTGTGGTTGGGGTGGTGGGAGGTTTGGATTCTGAAATTTGAATTTCAGACGTGGGTTGGGCGATGTGCTTGGTCGCGTAACCAGTCGCGAAGCCCTAATAACCGTCGCAAATTTTTTTCAATTTCGATTTTTTTTTTCGCCGGGCTGCCCGCGCGTTTTTTCACGAATTCGAAGCGTATTAGCGTACCACGTACGTACGCAATCGTATATACGTGGTACGCCACCCTACCCAGAGCGTATTTGGCAACGTAGATATATATACCTGCATGCCTGTTCTGCTAGGTACAGATCACTGTGCTGTTGTTGTTGCATATATACCTCTGCATGTGAACTGGCCTTGTGGCCCTTTGCTTGTGCTCAGTGTGTGTGGTGATGTTGTAATCCACCCTGAGCTTGCTTTGTTTCTCTTGACTGGTCTTGTGACCTCTTGCTCTCCCCCACTTTACCTATGGGGGTGTGTCAAAGTATATATATATGCTATATATGTTTAGGCTGTAGTGGGGTAGCCAATATGGGGTACAGCCCCTTTTAGGGTTTCATACTTGTACCCAACTCTTTCATAGTTCATTCATCCCTGCTGCTAGTTTCTAACAGCATGTACAATTTGAGCATGTACAATGTGAGCATGTACAATGTGAGCCCTCCCCTCAGCACGCCACCTCCCTTACCCCTTTTTCCTCCCCCCTTCCTCCATCCACTCACAGATGTTCAAGCTGCAACAACCCCCCTATGGTGTTGGGGATTGTCCCTGAAAGCTCATTGCAGCACAGGTCCCTGTGGGGGTGAGGGGGGAGAGGGAGATGGGTGGAGGGAGAGAGGAGGAGCAGACGGGGAGGGGGTGAGGGAAGGAAGAGAGAGATTATGCGGGCGTAAACTGAGTGGTGCATGCATTCATTTGGTTGTGTGCAGTGGTGGTACTTGGAAAGGTGGAAGGTGTACTGTTGTGGCAGATTGACACATTAACAGATGGACAGACTGACAAGCTGACAGGCTGAGGCAGACAGGCAGACAGGCAAACAGGCAAGCAGGCAAACAGGCAAACAGGCTGACAGGGTGAGAGGGTGAGGGACTGACAGGCGTCTGAGGTTGGTGGGGAGGAGGTCCTTTGGAATCGACCCTGACAGCTGGTTGTGGGACAGGTCTCTGAGGGGAGCCGAGAGGAGGGAGGGGGGGCGGGAGAGGACGCATGGGGAATAGCGGAGTTATAGGACCAGTGGAGTTGAGGGGGGTAAAGAGTGGAGTATACGTTGGGTTTAGGGTGGATGGATAAGCGTGCAATGCGTGCACTTGAAAATGCACGGGCTTTGATGGATACGCTATCGTGATAGGGGCAGCAGGGAGAAGAGGAGGAGGCGGGGGCAAGGGGGACTGACAAGGTATCGAGTCCGGTAAGCTTGGCAAGATATAAGGGCAGCGAACCATTGAGGGAGTTGAAGCTCAGATCACTGCAGGCATGCAGTGAAGCGTAGCACCAGGGGGGAAAGGGAGGCAGAGGAAACAAACAGCATGCACGTGCATGGAGTAAGGTGGGCGTGATAGAGGTTGGGTTGAGGGACTTAGATCTCGAGGAGTCCAAAAGGGAAGACAGAGGAAACGATATGAAGATAGATGGAGCAAGATGAGAGAGGGAGGGTTGTGACGGAGGGAGCTGGGATAGAGCACGAGAGTGTTGGGGGAGTTTTTTCTTAGCCATTGATCGTGAGAGGCAGGGATGGTGGAGTAAGGTAGGAGGTACGTGAGTGAGTTAGGAATGTGGGGCAGGGATGTGAAGCAGAAACATGATGTAGGGATGTGGGTGGGTGCGGCAGGAGTGAGTTAGGCAGGCATCACGCACAGGTAGCTGAGGTTGGGGAGCATACCAAGCTCCGATGGCAGCGAGCCGAGCAGCTCACAGTTGGACATGGCTCTGCCATACCGTGGCGACGGTGGTGGGCGAGGGGGGTGAGCGGGGTGGGGGGGGTGAGAAGGGTGAGAGGGGTGAGGGGGGTGAGTGGGGTGAAGAGGGTGCGGGGGGTGTGAAGGGAATCCTAAGGTGCCTCAAAAGCAGTGAGCAGAGCAGCTCACAGTTGGACATGGCTGGCTCTGCCATGGGCCGCATGGCAGGGGCCGTGAGTGGCGGGGAAGGGGTGAGAGGGGGTTGAAGGGGGTGAGAGGCAGATTACGGCGATGCATGGCGGGGGTGATGAGGAATGGGATGAATTGAGAGGCTTCTAGGGCATGAATTGCGGAACGCGAAAGAGTGGAAGACGCAAGAGTGGAGGGCACGAGAGTGGAAGACGCAAGAGTGGAGGGCACGAGAGTGGAAGACGCAAGAGTGGAGGGCACGAGAGTGGAAGACGCAAGAGTGGAGGGAGGGAGAGTGGAGCCGAAAGGGAAGTTGGGAAGGGGAAGTATGGATGTTCGTTTATCCTGCACTTGCACCACAGCTTCACGTAGATACAAGGCCAGAATGCAGCACCATGGGGTTTCAAGTCAAGAATGCAGCACAGACACTTGTCAACACAATAAACGTCACCCCATGCCATGTCACGGCATGCCATGCCACGCCACGCCACGCCACGCCACTCTATGCCATGCCACGCCACGCCCGCCACTCTATGCCATGCCACGCCATTCCATGCCACGCCATTCCATGCCACACCATGCCATGCCATGCCTCGCCATTCCATGCCATTCCATGCCACGCTATGCCATGCCATGCCACGCCACGCTATGCCATGCAGCGAGAGGTCAAGCGACACAACGTCACGTCATGCACATGCCATGCCATACCAAGCCATGTACGTCCAATGGGCACACACTCACAGTAACTGCAGGTCAACAAGGCCGCTGACCTCTGCAGGAATGGACGCAAAGAACTCGTTGAAACTCAGAGATCTGCCAGGCAGAGAGAGGGATGAGGCGGATGGGTAAATGCCTTTGTAACGAGGTGACTTTGAGTCGACTCAAAAGTCATCTCTGCAGGGATGCACGCAAAGAGCTCGTTGAAGGTCAGGTATCTGCAGCCAGGGAGAGGGATGGCGCGGATGGGAAAACACACACAGTAGAGCGAGCACGGACCAGATTATCATATGAAAGGCATGGATGGATGGAGATGGAAAGGATATGCTGGTGAGTATTAGCTCTCTGAAAACCGCCCTTGCAGGCAGGCAGCACCTAAATAACTAGCGCAGCTCCCAAGGTGCAGGGAGACTGACCGCAGCAAATTAGCGGCAAGAAAACAACGTATGGGAAGTGGCAGGTGTGTGCGGTGATGCGACCGACAGATGACGTCCAGGGATGACACACACATGCAGACACACGCACACACAGACAGACAGGCAAGGCAGGTAGTCAGTGACAGCAAGACTTGCACTGAACGAACTGGCCAGCGGGAGTCAGAGCCAGCGGGAGTCAGAGCCAGCGGGAGTCAGAGCATGATGAGCCCGCTTGCAGCATGGTAAGGCGAGGTGGTGGTGCAGCGCGCCTTGATATGCGATGAAGGGCAGGGAGGGCACAAGTATGATATGGCATGGGCGATGGAACGACATGGCGCAGACGCAGCTTGGGCTGCAGTGGCGTGGCATGGCAGGCAGGGCACAGGTGGGCGGAGGAAGGGAGATGGGGAGCAGCACTGACAGCTCCTTGAGACGAACGAGGTCGCTGATGGTGCTGGGCAGAGGGCCTGATAGCTGGTTGTGGTCCAGAGAACTGCACGCATGGCATGGCATGGGGGGTTGGGGAGTGCGAGCAGTCAGTCAGCTGCTGTGTTTGGACAAGGAGGAGGGAGACGATGGTTTAGTTTTTTGGTGTAAGACATGCAGCTGCACTCGCTCCTTCCATCCATGACCTGACATGCACATGGTGAGGATCCAACGCTGCATGGTGAGGATTCAACGATGCAGCACATGGTGACGGGTCAGGATAGGGAGAATTCCATGGTGTGCGATGGCATGTGTTGGATGCAATGGCATGAGTGGCATGGCATGATGTGGTGTAGCATGGTGGTGTGGCGTGGCATGGTGTGGCGTGGCATGGTGTGGCGTGGCATGGTTGTTAGAAATAGGCTGTCAACACTTAGTGTACTATATTTTATATCTTGTAGGTTATTTGTAGGTTGGGTGTAGATTGCAATCCCAACCCTATCTGGTTGGGATTCCTTCGTAATCCAGCAAATCTGCCAACTCACCAATGGAGATTTGCTAGGATTCCCATCCCATCCTTTCCCTAGCTTTGCTCAACCCAACCTTGTTTGTACTTAAGGCCTAGTGCCTTCTCTACTAATCAATCGGTTCAGCTCCAATTCTATCAATGGTGTGGCATGGCATGGTGTGGCGTGGCATGGTGTGGCGTGGCATGGTGTGGCGTGGCATGGTGTGGCGTGGCTTGGTGTGGCGTGGCATGGTGTGGCGTGGCTTGGTGTGGCGTGGCATGGTGTGGCGTGGCATGGTGTGGCGTGGCATGGTGTGGCGTGGCTTGGTGTGGCGTGGCATGGTGTGGCGTGGCATGGTGTGGCGTGGCATGGTGTGGCGTGGCTTGGTGTGGCGTGGCATGGTGTGGCGTGGCTTTGTGTGGCGTGGCATGGTGTGGCGTGGCATGGTGTGGCGTGGCATGGTGTGTGGCATGGCATGAACAGATGGAATCTCACAGCTGCTGCACGTTGGTGAGCGCACCAATGCCTTCAGGTATTGACCCACTCAACTCGTTGCTTGATATCTCCCTGTATTGCCATGCATTGCCATGCATCGCCATGCATTGCCATGAGTGCGATGTGATCCCATGTCCATGAGGCCACGGGAACACCCCCTCCCCAGTCCCCCCTTCCCCACACACGCACATGCATGCACACTCAGCTCAGACACAGCAGGTGAGCAAGAACAAGAAAGGGGATGCGCAAGAGGGACAGCCCGGAGAGGCATGTCAGTCAGCATGATGCAGTGAGAGGCATGGGGTGGGGGAGAGGTAGCAAACGCATCACAGGTGGCCTGCTGGCCTGGTAGCCTGCCTGAAGGAAACTTTGAGAATGCTCACCGGTGTCACCTTTGACAGTTCTCAAAACCCACCCTGGTTTCCCCTCTACCCCCTCTTCCTCCCCCCTCCCCCCCCCCCCCCCCCCCCTCCATCCCTCTCTAACTCACGCCCATGTGAGTGCAGTGAGACGACTAATGCCGCGTGGCAAAGACCCGCTGATGGCATTGTTGGATAGCTTACTGGTGGCGGGAGAGGGGCAGACAGAGGGGAGGGAGCAGGTAAGGGGATTGGGGAAGGGAGAGGCGAAGTTAAGGTGGAAGGGAGGGGGGATGGGAGAGGGGAAGGGATGGAGGAAGGGAAAAGGGGAATATAATGCTGAGGGCTCATGGTGGAAAGTGGGGAGATAAGCGAGGTTTGTTCCGAGGGGATGGCAAATGAGAGCGGTGGAGAGAAGAAGAAAGCACAAACAGGGGAGGAAAGGAGATGTGCCGTGCAAGAAGCCAGGGAAAATGGACACAGCGAGAGGAGATGGTGACAGAGGAGGCTCGTGGAAGGGCTTTTGGAGAGGGGGAGGGGGGTGGGGTAGCAGGGTAGAAACGCCAGAGAAGAGGGACCAGAGAGGGAGAAAGCGGAGTGGGTATTTGTAAATATGAGTGTACATCTGCATGCATGTGTGTGTGTGTGAGTTTGTGTGCGAGCGTGCGAGTGTGTGCGATGCGAGCGTGCGTGTGTGTACGAGTGTGAGTGTGTGCGGACAGCTAGATGTGTGTGTGTGTCATGTTACTCACAGGGTGTGGAGGCTGGTAAGACCCTCAAGTGCTTTAAGCAGTGGTCCACTCAGCTGATTCATGTTCAGGTTGCTGCTCAGCTCACACAGGGGTCAAGGGGTTTGGGTGGGGCGAGGGGAGAAGCCGTCATTATGCCATCCTCCCTGCTGCCCGTCTCCATACTCTCATATCTTGAACCCTCACAGACAGGTGCATACTGCAACAGACACCTCAGGCAACTCGCAGCATCTCTTGCCCTAGCACTCACAATTACTGCAAAAATCCTATAGCACTGCTTCCCGCCCCTGCGTTCCCGTGCGTTGAGTTGAGCACTCACAGGTACTGCAGAGTGCCGAGACCGCCCATAGTACTAGGCAATTCCCCTGAGAGCGCACACCTCTGGCAGTCACTGCGCGGGGTGGAGGGAGCGTGAGGGGGATGGGGAGGAGGATGGGGATGGGAAGGAACGGGCGTGCGGGGCTGTGCTTGGGATCAGTAGGAAGGGGAGACGAGAAAGGCAGACAAAAGCCAGAGGAAATGTGACAGGAGATGCACGAGGGGCAAAGGGAATGCTACAAATTGAAACGGTTAAGGGGAGGGGTAGAAGGTGGGTGTGGTGGAAGGGGGGACGTCACATGACTGGGCCCTGACGTGGAGAGAGGATTTGCTGTGGAAACAGTGGGGAGGGGGCAATAAAACAATGGCGTTGGTGGTAACGAGATTATTTAGAGGTGGTGTTGTTACTGTGTGGCTGTGACTGGCCGTGTTTTGACTGTAACTGTAGTGGCGCTCTCCCTTGCTCATTGTCGTGTCGACATGTGAATGCGGCGCGCGTGTGTGTGTGTGTATGTGTGTGTGCGTGTGTGTGTGTGTGTGTGTCTGTGTGCGTGTGCGGGCGTGTATGTGTGTGTGTGTGTGTGTGTGTGTGCGTGCGCGCGCGCGCGCGTGTTCGTATGCGCGTGTGGGTGTGGGTGCGTGCGTGCGTGTGTGCGCACGTGTGTGCGTGCCCGCATGTGCCCACGCGCCCTTGTGCTTGTTCATGCGTGAGCGTGCATGCGCGTGCATATTTATGAGTATGTGCATGCTTGTGTGATTGACGGACTCTGCGTGCATATGATGATGACATAACCCACAACTGGGTGAGGCTGACGAGCTTGCTGAGGGACGTGGGGAGAGAGCCAGAGATTGGAGTGAATGACAGAGAGCTGAAGTGCAGGGGAGGGCAAGGGGAGATTGGGGAAAGAGAATGAGGAGAGTGATTCAGCCCGTAATAAACAGGGGCAACATGTGAATGTGAAAGAATGGAGCACACCAGCGGTGGGTTGTGGAGGCCAAAGAATGCTATAAAGCAAACGAGAAAGCGCGTGTTGTACGCGCGCACAGGGATTTTGTCCCACGGCAGAACGAGCGAGTGAAGAATGAGTTTGGAGGGTTTCTTCTGGAAGCATGGGTTGGTGGCAGTATCGCCAAGTTGGGTCCTACCTACCTACCATACAAGCGTGAAACCATACACGCCCTCTGTATCCGTTACACCTGCTTACGACGCCTGCTTACAAGAACGGATGGATGGAATGGAGTGCTCGTGTGCTCATGTGCTTGTGAGCAGTGGCGGCTAAGCGGCTTACAGCATTGCGAGGGCAGAACACCCGCCTATCTCCTCAGGTAGACTCCCTGACAGGCCCGTGTAGGCCAGATTGCTGCCAGAGCGGTGATGTGGGGGACGTGGAGAAGGTGGGGGGAGCGGGAAGGAAGGTGGGGAAGGGGAAGGGGAAGGATTTGTGTGCAGTGGGGAGGGGAAGGTTAGAGAGGGTTAACGAAATGGGGGGGAAGGGAGGGGAAGGTGGGAAAGAGAAGGGAAAGGAGAAGTTGACATAGGAGGAGGAGAATTGCTAACAGAAGTAGAAAAGAGGGATGAGAGAGGAGTGAGTGGAGTGGAGGAAAAGGGAGGAGAGGGAAGGAGAGGCGAGGCAGTTAGACGGAAAGAGAGGGTGGAAGAGAGCACAAGAGGGCACAAGTACTTAAACGAGCCGCAACAGAGTGGAAAGCGGGGGGAGAGGGTGTTGACATTGATTGCATATAATTGATAAAAATGCGTAGCAGCAACAACAAATGGCAGCCAACAGCAGAGATGCACGCTGCAGTTTTGAGCCGAGTGCAGCACGGTATGGTAGCGAGGTGACCTTCAGATCAGAGTCACAAGGCTCAAGACTCTAGACTCACTCACACTCTCCTCCGCCCAACTGCATTTCCGCCATACATACAGAGTCAGCAGGGTTAAGTCTTGCAATGGAGGAGGAAGGAGGAGGGGCCTATCTTTGAGGCGCATCAAGCACACACACACAGTGTCAACAATCGCCTCAAACAAAGAATGCCGCACATACAGAGTCTGGAGCGCGTTGAGGGTGCCAATGGAGGTGGAGGGGCCTACTTTTAGGGTGCCTTAAACGCATACATTGCGAGTGATTTTTGAGAATTCTCAAAAATCGCCTACTTTTAGGGTGCCTCAAACGAATACATACATGTGAACAGTTGGCTCAAACAAAGAGCGGTGTACATACAGAGTCTGGAGCGCGTTGAGGGTGCCGATGGAGGTGGGGATGAAGCCCTCAATGCTTGTGCCGTATAAGTTGCTGTGAGAGGGACCGGGCAGGGATGGTGCCACAACGAGGGAGGAGGGATGGAAGGGAGGGAGGCACTCTCAATCGAGTGCTTTCCGAGAGTGCGGACAGTGTGGGAGTTGACAGTGTATGCTAGCTAGGCTGTGTGCTTGCAATGCAGTGAGAAGAGGTTCAAGGAGGTTGCTTGCTTGCTTGCTTGGAAAGCATGTCCTTGTGTTGTGTTGTGTTACCTACAGCCTGCAAATGCCTGGTACTTACCAACCTGGTAGTTGAGGCTCACCAAGCTGCCTGCCTATGCCTTTGGGAATGCTGGCGGGTTATGAGAAGGCATAGGCAAAAAAGGGCGGCTGCTGTCAAGGTGGCTACTTACCTTGGGGAGCATGTGGTGTGGTGCTTACAGGTACTCAAGGCTGACCATGCTGCCTATTTCCTTCGGAATGCTCTTTTGAGACGTCTCAAAAGTCGTCTACTTACAGGTACTCAAGGCTGACCACGCTGCCTAATTCCTTCGGAATGCTCCCCGATATGCCTGTTGACGGCAGCACTCTGCCATGCACGCACACATGCCATGCCATCATGCCATGCACACATGCATGTCATACACGCACACATGCCATGCACGCACACATGCAGCACTCATGCACATGTCGAGGCGAAGGGGAGAGGTGGAGGGACGGGGGGAAGAGGGGGGGAGAGAAGGTGCACAGATCTAGCACATCACTTCCGGCAGCAGCAGCAGCAGCGACCTAGACGTTCCTGTGTGCAATGGATTTAGGGACGGTGTGCGAAGGGGTCTGCATGCAAGTGCACGAGTGGAAACCAAGACAGGAGGACTCATGAAAAAGCATAGTTCAAAGGAATGGAAGGGATATAGCATGGTTCAGAAGGAGTGAACAAAAAACTTGTACAAAAGTTGCAGGCGGGGGTTGGTTAGCAACAACTTTGAAACTTCCCCCTATCCCATGGTACCCTTAACTCCTCCCCCTACTCCTCCCTGCCTCCCGCACAAACCTAATCCATTCCCCCCTATGTACTCTCTCTTCCAACCCTCCCCCCCCACGACCTCTCTCTCTCTCCCTGTTCCTCCCTATTTCTCCCCCACGTTCCCTCCCCACGCCCCGGCTCACAGCGTTTTCAGGTTGGTGAGTTTGGAGATGGAACTTGGAAGGGGCCCCGTGAGGCTGTCTGACACACAGAACCTGGTGCCATGCCATGGCATGTGATGGCATGTGATGGCATGTGATGGCATGCGATGTGATGTGATGTGATGTGTCACGTCGGGGAGGGGAGATGGCAGGTGAGCATGTGCGGTGCGGGAATGGTAGGGCTGAGCTAAAGAGAGCATTACGGAGCCACAAGGCAGCACAGATGGCGCTATAAGAGAGAGAAGTCGTGGCGTGGGCATGCACAGCACACACACACATACGACCGCCACATGCACCCATGCATGTGACTAACCACATCCCTGACAGAAACAACACTATGGATGCAATGCGAATGATGGATAAGACATGGTTCGCCACACAGCACGTGCAGTGCAGATGGCATAGCATAGCATGGCATGACACACCAAACGTTCAACGCATATGGCAAACCATAAGGCCCAGGCACATCCCAGGCGCATGCACTGACAGGTAGTTGAGATGTATGAGGTCTCCGATGGCCGCTGGCAGTGAGCCTGAGAAGTCCGGCACTTTGCTGCACGGGAAAAGCAGGCACGGAAGCAGGCATGGAAGCAGGCATGGAAGCAGGCATGGAAGCAGGCATGGAAGCAGGCATGGAAGCAGACATGGAAGGAGGCATGGAAGCAGACATGGAAGGAGGCACGGGAGCAGGCACGGGAGCAGGCACGTGAGGGAGTGAGGGGAAGGCATGTATCACGAACAAGCAACAGCAATGAGGAGAGGTGTGGATAACATGATGATCCATGTGCATGTATCATTCTTGCGGCCCCTCAGAAGCCATATGCATGCACTGGTTTCCCATCAACTAAACTCTCTCTCTCCATCCCAACTCTACGCACCCTTGCCCTCTGTGTGCATGGTCCCGTCCATCCCTACCATCCCATGCCACCCATCCCACCACCCATCCCACCACCCATCCCACCACCACCCATCACATCATGTGCCATGTCACCACCCAAGTAACCCACCATCATCGATCCCAAGCCACCCTCCCTCTCCCCCTTTTCTTCTCCCACCCCAGCATGGTTCGCTCACATGCGGGTAACATAGCTGCTGGCATCACACGTGACGCGTGCCATGCTCGTGCACACTTCCTGACTTGAGTTGACCCAAGCTTAGCACCCATTCTTTGGGTCGACTCAAGAACCATCCCAAGCCACACCACACCTATGCCAGCATGGCTGGCAGGCAGGCTCACATGCGGGTGACATAGCCGCTAATATCACAGGTGATGCCGGTCATGGTGCTGCACACGGCGCCCTGCACCCACGTGTCCCACCCTGAGAACGTCAGCGCCGCCTTCATCTCCTTTATTGCCGGCCCTGGCGTGGGCACGGGCGTACCGTGTTCGCAGGCGAACGGAATGGGACGGGAGGGAGTGCAGAGCGCGCATGGATTGATCAGTGGGCGGGCGGGTTGGGAAAGGGGAGGAGGAGGAGCAGTGCATTCACGGAATGCGCAGCAGGCGAAGCGAAGCCAAGTGGGTCCGCGATTACAGGGTGAAACTGTTTCAGAGCGCGGGCAGCGTGGAACAGCAGTACCAGTAGTGCAGTAGCAGCAGCAGCCGTGGCAGCGGCAGTGGCAGCAGCCGCAGCAGCATGCTACAAACACACACACACACACGCACACACACACACACACACACACACACACACACACACACACACGCACGCACATACATTCGTCGTCATTGAGTGTGACTTGCGCCATGGCACCCTGCCACCTCAGACCGTGCAGCAGCAGCAGCAGCAGCAGTAACAACAGCCGCACATCAGCATTCATGGGTGGTGGCGCAAACCCGCTCATCCTTGCGCCACGTCCCCGCAGGGCACTGCAACAGCATGGACCGGCCAGTTCTTGCTGGGGTGAAGGTGACTGACACGCGCCGCATGGAGGGCTGCATTCGAGAAGATTCCACCCATGGCGTGAGGATGAACAAGGTGCAGCCGGAATCTGAGGAAAACGGGAAGGGGTGGCGGCCTGGAAACGGGGAAAACGAGGAAGGGAAGGGGGAAAGATGGGGAGAAGTGGGGGGAAAGCGGAGGTTAGAGGGAAGAGGAGAAGGGGGTCTATTGTGCGAACCCGACCAAAGCCATGCAAACTCCGTTCCCCGTTCGCCCCACTCTCCCCTCCCTTTCTCCGCAGATGAGAACCTGTCTCTCCCGGTGTTACCGGAGCGACCTCGACTCGAACAGGGGTGACATGATTCATGCTCGCGGGAACCCACCCGCCCAGTGTTACCACCACACAAATCCTGGCAATACACATCACATGTGCTGCCTCCTGCGTGCATCGGCGTGCAACGTGCGCGCGGCAGTCAAGGTCATACGCTTCGCTGCTAGAACCCGTTGGGTTGACGCCCCGGGGTGGAAAGCCTGAGAAGAAGGATTTCGAGGAGCAACGAGCACTGTGACGATACACCTGTACTCGTACTAGGGTCGCGAACTTTCCCCTACAAGTGAAATTCGCAAGCTCAAAGCCCATGTGGCTAAATTTCTGCACGGCTGGACGGTTAACTGCCTGACGGCTGGAAGCCTGACGGCTGGTCGCCTGACGGCTGGACGCTGGACGCCTAACGGCTGGACGCCTGGGGTCGAGTGGCGTTACACCCTCCTTAGAGCTCCAAAATCTTCCACGGGACGCGAATTCGCTATGCTCCCGGTCCAGTTCTAGCGACGCTCGCGCGAGCTCCAGTTTCATGGCCTACCTGGACTGCTTCCCGAGATTCGGCGTCGTCGCCGCGACAGGCAGCGGTGTTAAATGCTGGGCGTGGCATGCGGATAGTTGCTGTTGCTGCTGCTGCGGGTGATGCTGCGGCTGGCTGTGCTTCATCGCTGTCTCGGGCGACGTAGCGAGGAGCGCGACACGCGGCAATCATGGCGGCGCTGCATGAACGGGTGAGTGTTATAAGCGCTGCTTCATAAATCGCGTGGTACGTGTCTGATGGGTTCAACCCACAGACGACGACGCAGAGCCTGGAATACAGGAAACGTCCGTCCGGAAATCGATACCTCCCGATTCCCTACGGGCCACGTAAGCGAATAGTAGCAGCAATCGGAATGACGATGTCGAGTCAAGAAGGCATAGAGGGCTTCCGCAGCAAGAACCATGCAGTGGGATGCCTATGACTTGTCCCATTCTGTACCACCAAAGAGCACCTTTTTTTTTATGAAGATGTCCCTTTGGGGTTGGTTCGTGGACAGTCTTGGACGGCACTGGCTTAGCTTGCTGTTTCTAATGGCAGTCGGCCGGAGTGCTGCAAGGAAGGAAGGGACAATGGCAAGCAGCAAATGTAAGATGCAACCTCGGATGGCTGAGCCTGTCAACTTGCGTTCTGTTGGGATGACCACTGGTAAAAACCAACATTGGAGCATTCTGGAGTCAAGGAACTCGCACAAAGAAAAGGACTAGGTGGAAAATTCCGAACACGGTCTCGCGAACCATGTGCCTTTCATGTTCCCATGTGGTTCTTTTCCCTTTATTTGTTGCTTGTACTTTGAAAGAATTGGTTTCCGCTAAGACCTGGGGTACTGATAGGAGTCACTCAAGAATATCAGAATCCATTTTCCTGCCCGTTTACCGCCATACCACACGAAGCATGTCAAGCAGTCGGTTTCCTTCCCCATAGGAAAGCAAGGTTCTGCGTTTTTGTACAATTCAGTAGCTATAATGCTATCTTTCAAATAGTTCTGCTTATAAATAGCTATCATGCCACTTCTGGATGGTATGATTGTCACACTATGTAAGAAGAAATTTATGTAATATATCAAGATTTAATTCTGTAAAAAATCTCGAAACTACATCTTAAACTTATTTATCACCGTTTCACACATTAGTGTCATTCTAATCCCGAATGTGTTTGTGTGATCAGCATGATATAGCTCAACCGACGAATTCCCCCGCCCGTTTTCGCCGCACAAAACCGACAGGGCCCCATTTCAGCTCGCCGTCCAACCGCCGGAACTTGTCTGGCAAACTGGGGCACGGAGCCCTAGGAAACGCCGAACGACCGTCGACATCCCCGTAGGTAGAGAAATAACCACAGAGTATATCTCAACGCGTGGCGAGTTGCCAGCAGGACACGTCGCCCGCGGATGTACGACACGCGGCGGGTTATGGATGACCTAGATTTCGTCGGATCTCCCTCGAATGTCGGCATCCAGACTGGCGTCCACGCGTCACCCGAGCACGCCTCTAGCGTCGCGCGGGAAACAGGCACCGCGACATGAGAATGTCGATGCGTGACACGCGGCCTCCATCTGCGCCACAGGGTAAGTCCCAGGTGGAAGAAATCGGCGGTCAACTTTTGCGCTGAAGAGGAACACGTAGGGACGAAATGTCGGCGCCGTATACGCAGAGTGCATCGACCAGCGAGGCCGGGTCCAGGTGTCGAGCACCATCGACCTGGTACGTGCACGGAAATCTGACGTGGGGGCAGGGTAAATGTCGGCGCCGAGCACGCGGCGTACATCGAACGGCGAAGCCAGGTCCAGGTGTGCAACATCGGCGGGCTACTAATTGCTCGGGAAACCGAGGTGGGGGGGGGGGTAAATGTCGGCGCCGGCCACGCGGCGTACATCGAACGGCGAAGCCGGACCCATGTGTCGAACATAGGAGGACTACTTGTTGCGCGGAAAAACCGACCGCGCGATGTCCGCAAATTCGGCGTCAAACTATCTCGTGAAACCAATCAACGGTGGCAGGAGTGCGCCATGAATGGACCAAGGAACCACGCCTCGGCGCGCCCCGTAGTGCTGCCGTGGCATGCCTACGAAACACCTCTATGGACAGTCACGGTGGCGTTGTAGTGGCCATGCGAGAGTCGTGGCACGTCGGAGAATGCGCCGCCTCGCGTGGACCGCGGCATGAATGCCTAGTGTACAAAACGTTGCCTGCACGGTGGCATGTGCCGAGCCGCGCACGTCCATTACCTCTCAGGAACCAAGCTGCCACTAGCCATTTTTCCTATCCTCACTTCCACCATCACGTCTTACGCCTGCGCTGTCAGACTTAGTTTTTTCTACCAGGACACGCTCTGTGGAGAACACCGCGGCTCTGGTGTCAAACGCCGACCGCCAGGTGAGACCGATTTTCGGGGTACTGGGTTTCGGATTAGAGACCGCGGAACTCGTAGGTCGCTGCAGCCGATTTCACAGTTTCGTCGCCCGTTCTCGGTTTAGGGAGGCACATTTGGTCAGAAAGTACGCATCGATATTGGCGTCGGCTCTGAATAATCATATCGGCGTATAGGCAGGCAAAGGCCCAGACAGCGCTGTGCGTGGTCGGCATCACATGGCCGGCGAACGGCCTGGTGCAACTCCGCCGGAAACCAACCTACCTGAGGGCGACATCGCCGCGCAGTTGGTGCAAGCTTCGCTCGCCGCCCGCTTAGATACAGCCACTAGGGTCACTAGGTCACTAGAAGCGAACACAACGCAGCGACAGTACGCCGCCTCCGTTACACATTACCGCCATTTTATGCCCGACCCGCTGTCAGAATATTATGTTTCTCTAGTCTGCAGTGGGGTACTCTATAGTGAGTACAACCCTTTTAGGGTTTGCTATATGTATCCCAATGTTTGCTAGTGAACCCCTCTCTTCTCATTCATTCTCGTTCTAAGTTTCTCATGGTATCGAGCAGGTTCCCTCGTGGGAACTGTTCCTAGGGCCCACCAAGATTTTTTTTCCTACCCGGGGCGCGTGCCGCCCCTGCTCGAAGCGCGCCTAGTGTCCCGCCCTTAGCGACCCGTCGCACCCTTCTTAGCGGCCCCTCAGGCCCCGTCGCTGCCCTCTCTAGGCCCCGCGTGGCCCCTTAGCGGCCCCGTCGCCGCCCCTTACGGCCCCGCGACCGCCTCTTACGGCCCCGCGACCGCCCCTTACGGCCCCGTCGCCGCCCCTCACGGCCCCGCGACCGCCCCTTACGGCCCCGTCGCCGCCCCTCACGGCCCCGCGACCGCCCCTTACGGCCCCGTCGCCGCCCCTCATGGCCCCGCGACCGCCCCTTACGACCCCGTCGCCGCCCCTTAAGGCCCCGTCGCCGCCCCTTACGGCCCCGTCGCCGCCCCTTTCGGCCCCGTCGCCGCCGAGCCGCGACCCCGTAGCCGCCCTTAGCGGCCCCGTCGCCGTCCCCCCTCCCCTCGGCCTCGTCGCCGCCCTTCAGTGGCCACGTCGCCGCCCCTCCGCGGCCCCGTCGCCGCCCTTCAGCGGCCCCATTGCCGCCCTTCCGCGGCCCCGTCGCCGCCCTTTCGCGGCCTCGTCGCCGCCCTTCAGCGGCCCCGTCGCCGCCCCTCAGCGGCCTCGTCGCCGCCCTTCAGCGGCCTCGTTGCCGCCCCTTGCGGCCCCGTCGCCGCCCTTCGCGGCCCTGCCGCCCTTCCTCGGCCCCTCAGCCGCCTCTGGCCCCTGGAGCAGCCGCCCCTGGCCCCTGGAGCAGCCGCCCCTGGTGCAGCCGCCCCTGGACCTCAGCAGCCGCCCCTGGCCCCTGGAGCAGCCGCCCCTGGACCCCGCGACGCCGCCCCTGGACCCGGTGCCGCCGCCTCCCTGTGCTGCCCATTGCCGCCCGTTGCTGCCCGTTGCTGCTCTCCCCCCCCCCCCCCCCCCCCCTTCTTCGTCTCCCTGCTGCGCGTGCAGCCGTGGAATGGAGGGTATGGGGGTGGCGGGTATGGGGGTGATGGATGGTATGTTTCCCTTCCCCTCCTCCTCCTTTGTCTCCCACTGCTGCAGCTGCCGCTGAGGGGGGTGGATGTGTAGGAGCCAAAGGCGTGGTGCTAGGGGGTGGGGTGTGAGTGAACCTAGAAGTGCAGTAGGGGGTGTGTGAAATGGGGGTGGGATAGTTTGGGGAGGTTGAAGGGGGTGGCCGCCGTGAAGCCCTCAGCTCCAGTCGCCCGTGAGACCGTTGCGCCAGTCGCCCGTGAGCCCGTTGCGCCAGTCGCCCGTGAGCCCGTTGCTCCAGTCGCCCGTGAGCCCGTTGCTCCTGCCGCTCAGAGTTAGCCGCGGAGCCAGTTACTCCAGTAGCCCGTGTGCCAGTTGCTCCAGTTGCCAGTGTGCCAGTTGCTCCAGTTGCCCGTGTGCCAGTTGCTCCAGTTGCGCCGTGTGCCAGCAGCTTCAGCTGCCGCCCACTACCTCCTCTCCTCTCATAGTCCCTCCTCCTCCACACTTGCCCTCTGCGATAGCCTCTAGCTTTGCTTACATTTGCGAACTTTAAACTGTTGCTTCTTGTACTTGTGCTCAGAATGTGTGGTGACATTGTGATCCACCCTGAGCTTGTTCTGCTTTGCTTGTTGTGCTGATTACACCCCACTTTGACTATGGGGGTGTGTCAGAATATTATGTTTCTCTAGTCTGCAGTGGGGTACTCTATAGTGAGTACAGCCCTTTTAGGGTTTGCTATATGTATCCCAATGTTTGCTAGTGAACCCCTCTCTTCTCATTCATTCTCGTTCTAAGTTTCTCACCCGCCGACCAACTCGCCGCCTCCCCCTCAGTAGACCACGGAGCGGTGTTAGGACCTTCGGGCGAGGCCAACATGTCGGACTACGTTCCGCTGGCAGCCCAGGCGGCGGTGAACCTGACCGGTGACACCACCACGCCGACCGGTGTCCGCCCCGCCACCAATCCGGCAGTGACGCTGCGTTTGATTTACGATCTAGACGCTCTGGCTAAAATTCTCGTCGACCCTGACATTCCGCCGACACCGATAGGGGACCCCCAAAAGCGACGCCCTAGCCAGCCGACGCAGCAGGAGGAATCTGTCAGAATGTTATTATTGTCTAGCCTGCA